AAAAGAATGTACCTCTTTACGCAGCACACAGTACAGGATGTAGCCATGGCTTTAAAAGAGGTTTATACGAATTCATGAACGATAAGGTCATCAGTGACTATTTATGTTCTCCCTCCATTTCAGGCACTGCTTTTGAGTACCAGTTGCTTGGATACCCAGGTAGGGAGAATGCTGTTACGCTGTCATGGCCCTCTGATTGGCCACTTTGTGAAAATAGGCTGCTGGACGAGATGGGTTTTTTATTTGATCCAGCAGGCATTTATATTAATATGCTCTTACCTAATATATTGTAAATACTTCAAAATCAGAAAGGGTACTACATAGGCATTATAGATGGTAGCTGAATCTCCCCCTTGAAGAAGAGTTGCTGCTATATTCCTAATTGCTCAAACGCAGCACACCTGCTACCCATTGCTATCTGAGCTGTAGATCCAGGAGACGTACTCCATGGTGCAATTTTTTCTCTAGGGCAGTGTAACCTACCTCCCCTGCTTGAGCCAAGACTTATCACTGATTTGATGAAATTGAAGAAATTTAATAATTAAAAATACAACAGGGTGTTGCTCATATATTGGCATTTCACTCCAAACTAACATCATTTTAAGGGACGCGGGTGGCGCTGTGGGTAAAAGCCTCAGCGCCTAGGGCTTGCCGATCGAAAGGTCGGCGGTTCGAATCCCCGCGGCGGGGTGCGCTCCTGTTGTTCGGTCCCAGCGCCTGCCAACCTAGCAGTTCGAAAGCACCCCCGGGTGCAAGTAGATAAATAGGGACCGCTTACTAGCGGGAAGGTAAACGGCGTTTCCGTGTGCGGCTCTGGCTCGCCAGAGCAGCGATGTCACGCTGGCCACGTGACCCGGAAGTGTCTCCGGACAGCGCTGGCCCCCGGCCTCTTGAGTGAGATGGGCGCACAACCCTAGAGTCTGTCAAGACTGGCCCGTACGGGCAGGGGTACCTTTACCTTTTAACATCATTTTACCCAACCACTGTACATAAATAGCAGGGAGGGCAAGAAAGAAATCTTAGATTAGGCTACGAGTGGTTATGACAACAGTTGCTCTGAGCATGCTTCAGTAGGTAAAAACAGCCATCTCAAAGCAGTGCCGCCAATTCCGTTAGGTTCTTTGATGGTCTGTGATGCTGAGAGATGCTATAGTTCAGTGTAAATGGAACTGTTTAGTCATACAGGAATAAACCTGGATGAGCCTTGGTGTCACATAACGCACCTCTTGCAGCACAGCCACAAGGAGATGTGAAGCATCTGCTTCCATTTTTAATCTCTGGTCTGTTGTTATATCCATCAAGGACAAACTGCTTAACCTCTGGTTTCTTAAAACAAGCCAGAGTCACACCATGGTTTCTTATCCTGGCTTGTTCCAAGAAACCATAGTTTAGCAGCTGATGGACTATATGCAATTAGCAGAGATGACCGGCAGAATTCGAGACCTGGGAGAAGAGAGAGTTGAAGAAGACTGGAAGAAATTCAAGACTTATTTACAAAAATATTGTAATTTGGCTGAATGTTGACAGGGATGCCAGAACAGAAATAATTGTCTATCACTAAACTAGATTTAAGTTTAACTATATTTTAATGACTGAATCTAAAGACTATGACAAAAATGATAATTTGCTTGGAAATAATTTTATAACGATGCAAGTGTGTGGGGGAGGTGTAAGGGAGTCCAAAGTAATGATGAAAAGATGTTAAATAATCAACGTTGTTTTATTAAATATGCTTTTATATTGAAAAACCTTAATAAATATATATTTAAAAAAAAAAAGAAACCATAGTTTAACCACAGTTCCCAGGTCTGTCATAACAAGAAACTCCAGGTAATTTAAACCTGGAAGCCTTGCTTATAAAGTCCTTTATCATAAGCTAATAGCATCTGCAGTTAAAGGGACACAGGTGGCGCTGTGGGTTAAACCACAGAGCCTAGGGCTTGCTGATCAGAAGGTCAGCGGTTCGAATCCCTGCGACGGGGTGAGCTCCCGTTGCTCTGCTCCTGCCAACCTATCAGTTTGACAGCACGTCAAAGTGCAAGTAGATAAATAGGTACCGCTCCGGCAGGAAGGTAAACGGAGTTTCCATGTGCTGCTCTGGTTCGCCAGAAGCGGCTTAGTTATGCTGGCCACATGACCCGGAAGCTGTACGCCGGCTCCCTCGGCCAATAAAGCGAGATGAACACCGCAACTCCAGAGTCGGTTAGTTATGCTGGCCACATGACCCGGAAGCTGTACGCCGGCTCCCTCGGCCAATAAAGCGAGATGAACACCGCAACTCCAGAGTCGGTCACGACTGGAACTAATGGTCAGGGGACCCTTTACCTTTTTATCTGCAGTTAATGGTGCAGTCACAGGTAGTAATCCAACTTGACCTGATTTATAGAGCAATTCTTTACGTGCTTATTTGGGAAGTGCTTACCGGTGGTATGCAACTAAGTTTTATGGACCTAACTTAGAATGTTCATTAATTTCAATGAGTCTACCCTAAGCAAAACATAGTTGAATACCTTCCAGAAAGGAAGAATAGTATAATAAACATCTTTATTAATTTTCAGAAAACTTAAGTGACAATATGACCTCACATAAACATCAAAATGAAAATATTAAATGAAAACAATAATGACAATGATAATAACCCCCAAATTTACATTCAAGCATGTAATTAACCCTCTGATGTTGCATATCTCAGGTACGGGGAGAGCACAAAAGGAAATCCGTAAGTACAACTAAGCAACTACAACAGAGCAAGCAGTATCACAATCAAGGTAACGGTCTGAATATTTTTCTTCTTCACATGTTCAACAGTCCAACAACAGAGTCTTGTAGAGATTTTCACGACTGTAGACAAACGGTCAAAGTATAGAACCCAGAGATGAGTGTATGCCAAAGGAGGTGAGTAACTTTATTCTACTTTATAAACAATTTTAAAAATCCCTTTTGACCTCTCCACACTAACTGTCTGGGTCAGTTTTTATAAAAGTACAATTTGCCAGATTTCGTACCAATGCTCAGTATTTCCCTCTTTCAGATCCTTCCAATGTCTAGCCACATGAGATCTGGCTGCCACTAATAAATGGCTAACAATTGTTTCCATTATGGCTAACAAGTGTTTCCATTATAAGTGTAAGTACTGGCCTGGAAGGCCAATTGTGGCATGAGATGAACCCATTGGCCTGTGATGAAACTAAGTTTCTGAAACACTTGCACCCAAAATTCCCGCACCTCTTTACAATTCCATTACAAGTGGAGGCAAGTGCCCACATGTCAACTCCAACTTAGAGGGGAAGTCTGGGTACGTGTAAGATAATCTCCTTAAATACTGTCAATGGAGAAGTTTTAATTATGCCTTCCTAGCAGTTGCTGCCAGGTATTTAAAGGGCAGCTTAGACTACAATGTATTACAGTCCTCTTGATTATGATGTTAAGGCCATGTTTCCACAGTTGATTTTTTTAAAAAGATATTTAATAGTGTACAAACCGTAAAAAGAAACACTTTAAAATCTAGTACACACTATTTTTAAATACCAATGAACAGCATCAATTGCCATTTTTATATATTGGATACAATATCTCTCATCGCTATTAGACTATCAAACAGCTTTTGCTCAAATTGCATGAGCTGGCAAGTAGCACTCTTTCTTCATTGCCAGTTTCAGAAGGAATTCATATTTGAAATGCCGATGAAATCATGGGAGATAACCTCGGTATTAACAACCCTGCCCTATGCTTCCAGACTCTGAACATTGCCATAGTAAAATGATTTATGATCTAGAAAAGTGAGTGCAATTTATGCTTTCAGAAAGGAGGGATATTATTCGGGATTCCTTCTGCTATGGTCTTTGAACTAACACAACGAATGCTGTTTTATTCTAATTTATGTTAATTCACCCAATAACCTGGCTCTCTAGTTGGGCTCACTGTTTCATTCTGTCTTCTAAAATAAAAGACTGATATCACATTTCTTATTTGGTTCACCTCATAATAAATCTCAACATTAAGGGCATCCCTTCCTGAGCTGGTTTAAATAAGATGGATTTTCTAATCAATGGCATTGCTGAACCAAAGATAAATTTTCTTTCCTTTGCCATTTCTGAAGCTGCTTTTTGGGGACCCAAACTGGCAGGGTTTGAAAGAAATACAATAATGTTTTAAAAAATAAGCATGACTCCCACCATTAGACAGTCCATGATACTAAGATTGATTCCCCCCTCTAACTACATGTTTATTAATTTGTTGTCACACGTTCCCATAACTGACTTTCTATAACTTGGATTCCTTGTAATATATATTCCCAAATACCAAATCTTAGAGTGACACAGCGGGATCTGAAACACTGAGGGAAGAGCTCTCCGAATCTTGGGCATATGTACCTCCAGCTTATTAAAATTGACTTGGAACCCATTCACTTCCTCAGAAGTGCGGAGCTCTTTTTAAAAGCTGTGCCACCACATTTAACGACTGAGAGGTGGTCAGGCTTATGTATATCAATGGCACACATGCCTAACAAATAAGAAGTATTCCAAATATTGACTCCTTTGATATCAGGGCTGCTTTGAGAATTGGCATTCAATAACTTGTGTATTGCAATCCTATGCATGTTTATTTTAATGATGCTCCAAATTATGGGATAAATGGGGCTTGCTGTTTTAGAATTGCAAGATGATTGGCATTAATGTTTTATACTAATAGCAATCTGTGTGTGACCAAAATGAAACTGACAAAAAGCATGCAATTCAAAAAAAATTCTTACATAATGAAGTTGAAATAGATTGGATTTGGCACAAAGACCAGACTACACACCAGTCCAGATTGGGTTGCTCATTTGCTATCCTGTAGCCTTGCTCTTATTCCAACTGATTAAATGTGGTAGTAAATTCTGTAGCGTACAACGTCACTTATTTCAGACTCCATTCTAAAACTTTTCTTTTTAATCATTTCTGTTTCTGAGATACAGCACATTAATTCCTATCTTGTGGGGGGGAATTAATGAGACTCACTATTTTTAAAAATATTTTTAATTGCAAAAAAGGAAATACAAAGGAAAATAGCTAAGGCAAAGCCTTGCCCAGCACAAGTAATCCTCGGACAACTGTGTCAAACAAGTTCCACAACTTTTTTGTGTGTACATCTTAGTTCCTGCAAACCTTAACACATAACAACAAAGCACGTTAAAATACATGAATAAACATTAATTACAAGCATTTCTCCAAATTATTTAGTGTTTATAGTCTCTGTGACCTTCATTAAAAAATATTTTTGCATAGACTTCACATACTGTGATACTCAAAGATATTCTTAGACCCAAGAGTTATTTTGGCATTGTGGATGAACTTTTTGGTCTTTTAAGGCTATATATTTTAAGCTAAACGCAAGATGCTCTTGGAGCGATCTTGGGAGAGCTTTTGTGTTAAATCCAGACAGTTTTGTCCAATTTTACAAAAAATCACTCTTTCCAATGAACCTGATACTCGGCTCAGCTCTGTGCCTTCTGCACAATACTGCCTCTCAGTGGCGGCCCAAATAAAGTAGAAAAATCAGGTACAAAGTGCGTGAGGCACCTCCAAAACATGAACACTGCCTAAAAACTTGATACCAATTGCAGCATTCATTTTTAGTAACCATGTGTCTCTCTCATCCCACTTTAACCAGTGGAAGACAAACTTTGTCCAAATAGGCATTAAAGGACATGCATCACCAAACAAGTATTGCTTGAGCAGTTTATTGAAAGGAATTTCTGCAATATAGCAGACTGAATTATACTAACCCCTTTCATATGAGGTAGGTGTTATTATTTCTACTCTGCAGACAAGAAATCCGATATACAGCATTAAGAGCAGATAAAAACAAAACGTTCAAAATTTGACTAAAAGAACCTTTACAGACTGTTGTCCAAAAGGTATTTTTGCACACGTGCAAAAGTTCAACAAGCTTTTACTAGTGGTGCATAGCAGGTGCTTTGCAGAACTGGGAATAAAACATAGGGAGTCTAGCTCCTAGTTATGCTCCAATTAGGCTACAAGTATTCCATAAGAGCATTTATTTATTTTTACAATACAGAAAATTTTACAGTGTTTTTGAATACAAATTTGCATACAGTTGACCTGTTGACACATCATTCCTATTCAAATGTAGTGCTAAATGTAAGTGGTAACCTAACGGATTACCACTTATAAAATTATTCACTAAAGTTATCTGCATATCTACACTATTGGCTTCAAGTGAAACGATGCTAATAAATTGCCTCTGCCATTTACTTTATGGCAAGTAAGATATGGCAGCTCAAGTTAACCTTTTTTTTTTCTTTCAAAAATGAAAATAAGCATAACTGTGTTTAGCTAAAGAAGTATGCATAATTTTAAAACGGGGTGCCTCTAGAGCACCAGCTTAGCAGAACAACAGTTTAAATGAGTTAGCAGTGGTGTGAAATAGATCCTGGGAACACCAAGGAAACATTTTATGCGAAGCCTGTGCTTATTTAAGATGCCGTGTTTGGATTCTCTAGAGAATACGGTTATTCACACAAACTACATGGCGTGGGTGGAGGAGGGTGAGGAACAACATATTGACAAATTAAACCATTCCTGATTGGAATTGTAACAGGAGTGCAGTAAACCTTTCCAAACAGCAGACCAGTCTACAAACTTGCATGAGACTAGTCTAAAGTCTTGTTCAGTACGCAGCTGCGTTGGGAGGCTGGACGTCGCAGGTGTAGCATGGCAATAACCACTCTAATGTGGAATAATGCTAACTTAAAATAGTTGCTCAAAAATATTGGTGAAATCATAGTGTCAGTTCCACTAAAAATACTATATAAAAAAGTTGCATTTTACCAACTCCTTTCTCCAATGTTTGCTCTAGAATAGTAATAGTATATATAAAACCAACTGATGTACTAATGAAGAATTGCATGGAATCAAAGGTTTGGATAAAATCTTGTGAACTGCATAGCTAGCACAAATGCTATGAGATAAAATCTAATACTCTGGGGGAAATGAGCGGGGAACTGAATATTTCTTCCAACAACTCAGAATTATGGGATCCTCCAATTTTCCTAAAATTACAAATCCCCCCAAAAAAGTGAGTGTGAATATAAATGGTATAGATGACATGGAAATGAAAACATTTTCTGTCTTTTATCTTTATCATCAGCAGTCTTTTTAAAAAGTGATAAATCCCATACTTGTTTATCATTTGCACCATTTATCAGACTGTAAATCAAGGGGTTTTCATTCTAGAACCCCTCTTATAAGCTCTGTTGCTAATGCCTGGTCTGGAATTAAAACTTGATTGAGGTTATTTATTTATTTAAAATATATATTTATTGAAAACCAGCTTTAAAAATGTTAATTTGTTGTTATTATAGAGAGCACCACAAGCCTCTGACCAAAAAACTTCCACTTCTCTAATTCCAACTACAAACGGTTTTGCTTAAGTAATTAGTAGTGCAGAAAAACGGCTCTGCACAAGAACATGCCTTATGCTGAATCAGATCATTGGTCCATCTGGCTCAGAACTGTCTGGCAGCAGTTTTCCATGTTTTTACATGGGATTCTTTCCCAGCCCTGCTTGGGAATGCCAGAGACTCAACCTGGGACCTTTTGCATGCAAAGCATGTGCTCAGTCACTGCACCTGGCACTTCCATAAAATGGTGTATATGTGTACGCATGTGTACAGATAAAGAACACAGGGTAAAGGACAGGCCCCTTCTGTTTGTGACCAAGGCAAATCACTGAGATGAACCTCAGAGGCCTCACACCGTAAGCGAGAGTCATACTCCTGCATCAACAATCCAGACAGCTGCTCAAATACACTCTTCCAGATTGTTGTTATACAGTGCAGTATTCATGCTCCAGGACTGGCACTGAAATTAGGTTCCAAAACTCTAGTACAATGTTAACCTATAGCAGAGGAAGTTAAATTTGGTATGCTGGCATTTCTTAAATTTGATCTTGTATCTGAAAAAAGTGCAAACAATTTCCTATAATTCAATGCATGATTATTCCTATTATTTTAACACATTCTATTATAGAATTAAGACAAAAGCAAGTTAAATACCAAAGTATCCAAACTTACAATCCATACTGTTTAGCCTGCCCAAACTTTTGGGGCGGTGAGGGTGTCACTGATTTTAATGGAGCTTTCTGAGCTCCAGTCAATTTTGCTGCTCTATCAGGGTTTTTGTTTAGTATTTGGTTGGGCATATACCCCGCATCTCTCATTCATGAGAGGTTCGCACCCTAGATTTTAGTTTTAAAAGCTAAAAAAAATGGTGAAAAATGCAGGAAAGAGCTATGCTATTTCTTGCAGCAGTGTTTTTGGTTATTTCCTTGCAGTAACCGCTTGATTATGTGGGGATATGTGTGCCATGATCTTTCTACAGAGATTTGTAGGAGTATTGCATTCGCTAAGACTAAACAGGTATGAGGGGCTCTTGTACTTTGTTGGAAAAGCCGTAAGAAAAGGAAAGCTCCTCATGTGGAGAGAGGCAAAATAAGATCAAATAGCCTGGATTTTTCTAGAATAAACTTTAAAAAACAAACAAACCCAGTAGCTTTATATTGGATTTAAATAAACTCTTGGGACATCCCCTCCCCCCCGCCTATTCATTGACAATCTTCCTGTGATGCTTATCTAGTGGAGTAATCTGAAAATATTTCTAGAAAAACATGTAGTTTTTGTCACAATTATGTAGCAAGGTGAGAAGGAAGCGGAAGGTTCAGTTTCTAAGTATAAAAAGAAGAGAAAAGAATCCATGAGGCAGGAAATAATTTCTTCAACTTGTTTTAAATTCTTTGGTTTTCTACAACCATGGATTCTTTTCAACCCTTTCCATGCTTCGTTGTACAGTGTAGCCCTTCTAGCTTCTCTACAGTTTCTAAATATGCCTGCGGAAGCCCACCCATATCCACACACATTACCATACTGCTGGAAGTTACCAAACCGCAGAAGCAAGTAATTATTATTATTTTTTAAAAGATGGTGTTATGGTTTCAAATGTTGGTTATTTTCTCAAGGAAAAGAATGAAGTAATTCCTGAAATGTAAGAACTGAGGACTCTCCCATTTAGTATCAACAGACCTTGGAGACACCTCTTCAATATGTTTAGGTTGATAGATCTGAGATAACTAAGTGATCTGACTTTTCTTCAATTTCAGGTAGTGATAAGAGTTCATCTGTTTCATAGTCGTCATCAAAAGATCTACAAAAAGGAAGAAAGATATTAAGAATGCAGATGGTTTACATGTTTGGTTATAACTGAGGTCTTTTACTTGGATCATTTTTCAGTAAGTAAAACAGCTATAAATCTGAGGTATTTATACAGGTGTAGAGGGCGGAAATGTAAGTAGTGGATCCAAATGGCCATGATGATTCCATTTAAATCTTAAACGTATAACATACTAAAGCATTTGGTACCACTCCTTACAAATTTTTCACTTTATCACCTTAACAGGTTTATACACTTTGTAGAAGGCTCAAAACAACATGCAAAAGAAGCCGATTTTTCTGTCCTCATACAGGGGTACCTTGGTTGTCGAACTTAATCCATTCCGTGAGTCCGTTTGACTCCTGGAACGGTTCAAAAAACAAGGTGCGGCTTCCCATTGGCTGCAGCTTCCTACACGCAATCGGACGCCCCGGAAGACGTTTCGTTTCAAAAAAATGTTCGCAAACAGGAACACCCTCTTTTGGTGGAGATAATCTCCAGGTATAGGCAAGTGCATCTGTGCTGCTCATTGTGGGAGACAGTTGCCGGGGAGAGGGAGAGAAATAGGGGTCCCTAAAATGCAGTTTTTTCCAGAGGTATGCTGGACAGAACAGGATATACAGAACAGGCTTTTTTCAGAGTTTGGCCCTGGAGAAGAAAAGTGCTTTCGCTGACGTGAAGGTGCTTCCAGAATAACCATACTATCATAAAACATTGCTTATCTTCACTCAATCTTGCTTTCCAAAGCCAACTCCTGAAAGACACATTTTAAGTCATAGCAATTTTCTGTGTCAGTGCCTGGTAGTGTACTATAAACTAAAACATAAGGAACGCAAGGCTCTTATCCTTTCTCTGCCAAGGCTGAGTTGCCTCAGGGCATGCTTTTAATATGCCATGGAAGCTTTCATCTACAAAGAGTTAGCAATATGAATTCATCAATAATACACAAATCCTTTGGTTGAAAAAGAGATTGTAACATTTCTGCCAGCATAGTTTAGGAACAGTTCAGCTAATTGCTTTGACATTTTGTAGATACAGTAGCAAACAGTATAACTATCAACTAAGGAATGACACCCTAAATGACTATGTTTATTGTCATAGTCAAACAGGCTTGCAGTGACATTCCAAGATTAGTTATTTAGTAACTCATTTTATTGTTCATAAACATGTTTCTCTGTTTTAAACAGTTTATCTTTTTCATTTTGCTTCAAAACAACTTTTCATCTTCAAACATACGAGTTTTGAGGCTTCTGGGAGTAGCAATTATAACCACATTTTGCAGATATTGACACTCACCCTTCTTGTAACTGTTCATTGCCAGACTCTTCAGCAACAAGAATTTCGTACTCCTCAGCAGCATATCTGTCCCAGTCAGAGGGTTCAGGACCATCATTCTCAACATCCTAAATAAATATGTGAGAAGGAAACAAGCAAAACTGAACAAACCAAGTCACTTTCACAATATACATATTTGCAATGACTAGGATGCCTTTGAACACACACACACACACACACACACACACACACACACACACAGAGTCTCAGGGCAATGACCATTCACTTTCCAGGTAAGCTGAATAGAACCTCATTGCAGTTGGGAAATTCAAACTCTGAAGAGTACAACTACTAAAAACTAGAAATAGAAAGGACAAACAAATTATTTTTCATAATCTATATGTTATACACTTTTAACTTAATGCCTCAGAACACTGGACTGAGGCATTTCTTGTCCACAGTAGACCACTGACTTCAGAAGGGAAATAAAAGTGACATAGTTCTCTTCTGTGAAACTGTTTAAACTTGTAATGCAAGGTACAAATTCTTCACCAATAGTTGTTTTTTAATCAGGTGAATAAGGATACAGGGGTTGCTATATGAGGGGAAAGGATAAGTTAGCTACCTCTTGTTGTCCCTTCCAGTTCAAAGAGTTCTAATAACGTTAGCTATTTAAGCCTGGAAAAGATTTTCTTGTCTCCTACTTGACATTCTAAATTTGTAGACAATATATATCCCATCTAATAATTGTCCCTGAATTGGATAAACTTGCCAAAGATCACAATCAAGAGAAGTGAAAACAGTCTATGTTTCTGTTCCTTTGAAATATGTACTGAAGAAACTGTTACTGTTACATATAGATTTTACCATTTATGTATGCTGCTCATTTATCAGAATCATTTTAAGTGTTAAGGAAGAATAATGTGCAATAGGCCAATGTACAAAGGCCTCATGACATCAAGCAAGCAGGGCTTTAATCATTTAATTTCTGCTGAAGATGCAGAAATGTCTTGTCATTACTTGTCCTAGTACCTGATCAAAGAATAATATAATGGGATATTACACAACCTTTCCAGATACTAAGCAAATTTAATCAGCTCTTCTCCCTCTTATATTTTCTTGGGTTACTAAGCATACATTTAGGAAAATTTCTGTTCTAAATACATCGTTTTGACCACTGCCACCATATTTCCTAGTAAATTCTTTTGGGAACTTCATGAAAGTATCCATCTCTTGTTGCTTTCCAGAGCAGAACTCTCAGAGCAATCACTATTTTGGAACCGCTTTATACCTTCTGCACAGCAAAGGGATCCCGCTGTTCATTGTCCAAGTACTTTTCCAGGTTAAAGAATGTGTTGTAAAATACATGAGCCATTCTGCATCTTTTCAAGTCTCGCAAAGTTACTCTTCCTGCAAAACCAGAACACATTATTTTATTATCGGTCTAGCAGTTCTCAGTAGGACTGGGGTGTCAAGGCTTCTGGGTTACAGGTCATGTGATAAATAGTATTTAAAGATTTATGAAGAAATGGGAGATGATTTCTTTCAGGCCAGATTCACCCATTCTTTTCGGTGATCTATTTTCAACACAGGTTGACAATTCTGTTAACTCAGTTTGAATCAGTATGTACCAGTGGCATGCAAAAATCCAAGTTCTGTTTGCCATGGAAGTGATAAGATGATGAGTTTATACAAGCCCTTCCTTTTTTTACAAATTTGTGCTCAAACGCAGTTTGCAACAAGATAGTTGCTGTGAACAAAGTCTCCTCTAGTGCTTGATCAGCAGGAGAAAATTCAAATGAGTTCACCCAAAAAAAGCCAACATATTTTGAAATAAGTTTCTCAAATACTTTTGTGGACAAGGCCTTTCAAGTGTGCACTGACTTGATTGGCATCACTATCAGGTCTGTGGGTGAGAGATCACACAGATACATTATGGCTCCCCATGCATTTAGAGAACCTTATAACACCATTTTGTATTAGTGGCATTAGCAGTTCATGGCTCTGCACCTACTTGCTGGGCCACCTCTAAATGCCCGGAGAGTGAAAATAAAAGCCTGTTTGGTGGTGGTGGGAACCGATCTCTACCATTTTTTTGTTATTACTTTGAATGTTAACTAAGGAATTGAATGAGGATGCAAAGCCTAGGAGGTTGGTAAAGACCACTACTTGGCTGTGGGTCTCCCATACACAAGGAATCTTATCACCTGCTTGGATCAAGTGTCCTGCTGGTGACTGCCAAAGAAGTGATGCAGACAGAGTAAGATAACTCTTCAAAGGGGTCTGGGAGATCAAATATATCTGAGAGATCAAAGATAATCATACTCCCAAGAAATGGTCAGCAGTGTAGATGAATATTATTGTATAAATGGGCCTTACCCTCACACTCTGGCTTCACTAGATCAAGCATTTGGCACAGTAAGTCATGGAATGGCAGTGGCTCAATGCCCATGGATTCCATCCTCTCACACTGCTCCTCGTAAAAATACTCCAGTTCATACATGGAGAGCATGCCATCCCCATCCAAGTCCATGCAGCGGAACCAGTATTCAATACTAGGGAAAGGGGAATGAATAAGATTTGTTTGTAGCAAAGTTGGGGCAAGCAATAGTTCTAACAAAGAACCCTTATTGAGACAGCTTTCATATGCACAGTGAAGCTTTGTCCAGACTCCTTCCTTATAATGCCTTTCATTGGAAATTTCAATCTAGAAATTCAGAGCATGAGCTAAGATATATAATACCCTCAGTTGCTCAGTGACTCAAACTGCAATAGTTCTCCATCCTTGAGAGAAATTACAAACTGAGATGTTCACATTTAGCAGCAAAATACAGGATAAAGAAGATGTCTACATAAATTCAAAGCAGAGGTGACGCTATAGCAGTGAGGCTAACTATCAGAACAATGTGTTTCTGATCTTCATGGCTTGGTAGCCACTGGGGAGTGACTCCTTTTTCTACCACAAAAAGTAAAGCCTTCTTTGGCCATGTGGAGAGAGCTACACTGCAGCTCATTCCTACAGTAGCACTGATCAGTTTATGTAAATGTCCCTGGCATCTGCATGTATTGTTTTAGCTCTACAATTAGAGTGTACTGTGAAATATATTTTGGACAGTTTTGTGATTTGAACATAAAGTGGTATCCAATACAGCACTTGGACAAGGGAAGTTTCCCATTCCACCTCCCCATCACAGCCCTCTATGTCTTCCAAAAAACTTCCCTGGGGTTGCAGAGTCCTAAGGGCTGCAATGGAGTAGAACTTACTCCTAGTTCAAGTTCTTTATCCAGTGACAGCCAGGGCACTCAGTCTCTATTACACACCTGCATATTACATTTGTTTTTTAATATCACATTTATATTTTATATACAACATTACACTAAGGAGATCATCACGTCGGTGAAAGCATTTCACTTGCCAGACAGAACAATCTCCCCCTCCTTCCCCTAAGTGCGGTTCTGAGTGTTTCCCCAACCCCACCATAGTCAATTGGGCGTGGGGGCATGAGGAGAAGGAGGGGCAAAAAGCCCCACCGCACTAGTGGAAGACGCTTGCATTGGCTTCCACAAGCAGGACTCACTAGCTGAATCATTCCCATTGTGTTTTTTAAACAGCATGCTTGTGACTGCCAATATCATCATCTTCTCATTCCTCCCTATCCCCAGCACATGATTAGCAAGTGACACATGAGGCCAAGATTGTAAGCCTATGGAAGTGCTGTATATGTGTGTAGAGTGCACAGGAAATGTTAGGACAAGTAACAAGAACAAAAAGAAACCATGGGGCAGTCTCATTTGGCTGCAGCTGTACTGTATACAGTGGTACCTTTGGTTAAGAACTTAATTCGTTCCGGAGGTCCGTTCTTAACCTGAAACTGTTCTTAATCTGAAGCACCATTTTAGCTAATGGGGCCTCCCACTGCCACCCGATTTCTGTTCTCATCCTGAAGCAAAGTTCTTAACCCAAAGTACTATTTCTGGGTTAGCAGAGTCTGTAACCTGACGCGTCTGTAACCTGAGGTATTACTGTACAGAAGTTTATCCTTTCCCCCTATTTTCCTGTCAAGAATACCTTACTGGCAGTTGCTATTTGCCCCTGGAGTTACATAACATATGCATTTAACAACCTGCAAACGTATATATGTTCACTCCACCTACTCCAAATTTCTGGATGACTTATCTCACCTTGTGGGACTTCTTTTGTCTTCTTCAGAAATTAGAAGCCATACAAAGTCTGCATAGCTCATGTGGTTTTCTTTGTGCACTTGAATTCCTCTGAAACAGACAGATTTCAAACACTCGCTGAAGTTCACATGGCAATTTAAAAAAAATTAAAAAATTCTGAATACACGTCAGCATTTCACTTTCTATTCCTTAGAGAACCCATGGATGTGTTAGTGCTGGTTACCCACTCCCTGATTCTTTGAAGTTCAATACTATTTAACTTGAAAGTGTACCCTAGAGAGCAGATCAGAAACTGCAAACTAACAACCCAAACATGACAACTTTTAAATTAAAATAGACCACATTCTCTCAGCATCAAGATTTTGGGCTGTTTATATAATCATTTATGTTGTACAAAGTCTCCATGTGGCAACCTTTCCCTGACATTTCAGGAAGATAAAGCTTTCTTATGAATGTATCTAAAATACAGACTGGGAAAGGTTTATAGTTCAGTAACAGCATGTGTGTTCAATCCACTGTATCTCAGGCTGAAAACAGTTTATTCTGGATTGAAGACAGAAATCATTCCTGGAGATTTTCTGATGGATGACGTGAAAGGGTCAGGGAAATTTCGCATCACAATAAAAAGTGCAATTGAGCTTTACATTTTGTTTCTCAACACTGTAGAGTAGAGATATTTCAAAAGAGAAATAATGTCCATGGCAGCCAATGTGAGCATTACATGTGCCTTAGGAAACAAGATCATAGGAAGCTAAGCTGACTCAGATCATTGTTCCATTTAGTTCAGTATTTACTGCACTGACTGGCAGTGGCTCTCCAGGGTTTCCACCTGGGGACAATCCTAGCCCCACCTGGAGATGTCAAGAGATTTTAACCTTCTGCCAGCAAGATCTACCGCTGAGTTTTGTACCTTTCCCTCCCTTCTCTAAATGATTTAAAACAAAGCCAATTTAAGCTGCACATCTGAAGCCACCCCAGACAAGGAATCAAAGTGATTCTACCCTACATTGAACTTCCTGAATCCTATTCTAACTGTTATTTCAAAAATTAATTTTCTTCCTTTGATCTTAATTGTTCCCTACTTTCTTACCTAAGCACAGCTCCACTGAATATTCTCTCTATAATCCTGTTTGACAGAGCTGTAGATGAAGAAATAAGGATTAGGAACAGTTTCAGTTCTTGAATGTGTTTGCAATCGTTCTAACAGTTGTTGCTTTCCCCTATACACAAGTGATATCTGTGCAGAAGAATATGAGAAGTGGCTTTCAATCATGTGCAAAACGCAACAGAAAAATGATTTTCCTCAGTGGCCATGTTTTTACTATGTATCAAATAAATGCCTTAAAATAGTTTTGATTCTGAATACTTTTGATCTAGTCATTCTGTTGCTTCCTGATGGCTGGTTGTGATGCACCACAACAACCGCCACCCACTCCCAGATAGGGGTAAGAGGTTATTCCATGACCAGGCCTGAATCCAGATTGGAATGGATTTAAATAACCTGTGTCCTCCAAGAATGCTTGCAGTTGCTCCACCATGGCTCTAGCCACCACCCTCTCCCAGAAAGGGTATAGGCAACTAGCTGATAGCTGTTCCAATCCGAAGGGTCCAGAGCTGGTTTCTTTAGGAGCGGTTGCACCACTGCCTCTTTCAACGCAGCAGGGACCACACTATCACATAGCAAAGTGCTGACTACACTCTGGATCCAACCAATCAACCCCCTTCTACTAGATTTGAGAAGTCAGGAGGGGCAAGAATCGAGGGGGCACGTGGCGGGATGCATTGCCACAAGTATCTTGTGTGCATCAGTTGATTGCATAAGGTGAACCTGATCTCACAAAACAGCCTCGACAAGATCACCAGCTTTCTCTACTGGACCCCCCCCCCAAAAAAAAAGCATTCAGGAACACATCAGGTTCCATCAGTTTCTGAGGGCAGACCATCCAAACAGGCCCATCACCCTTACAGGAGAGAACTGCCACCATCAGCCCCTCTATCTTTAGTCCATCCTCATATCACTTGGGGGCAAAGATCACATCAAGAGTGTGCCCTGCCTGGTGTGTTGGACTGATGAGCATCTATATGAAAGGCAATTTGTAACATTTTAATGCTTCAATCCACAGCAGATTCAGGCCAAAATTAACCCATAGTGATACAGCAAGTAAAGGATATGGTGCTTGTTCATAGTTTTAACTTTTTACATCTTTTTCCCTACAAGGTTATGGCATAATAGACACAGCCTTGTGCTATTAGCTACCCTTTAGTTTAGTATTTTCAGCAAATGGACAGGGAAAAGCTATATCCAGTCCAATTTTCCCAAGAGCATGGACTACTTTATTGCATGTCTATTTTGCACAATAATGACATGACTGAGGCACAGCAAGAGATATGCAAGGGGTTTTTTTTTTGTAAGAACATGGAGAAAGAGAGATCAAGTTTGGTAATCTGGGGTGCCCATAAAGTACATATGAGAGAATATTTATTTTATATTAGTAACAACCACCTCCAGTGCTTCTCTTGCTCTGCGTACCTTGATCATTGTATCTAGCCAGATCTTTCTGGTTGATGTAGAGATCATGGTCAGTATCCAGTTCCCAGAATTTACAGTAAATAACATAGAAGTGCTCATAGGAAAAATAATCAGTGATTTGATTTATGTCTTCCTCTTCCTCCAAGAGAGCTAGGGTCTGAAAAAATGAGGGGGGGGGGGAAATGAGAACAATTTTATTTTCCATAGGCAGAAGGCGCAGACCAAGAACTGTGTCTAGAATGATATCTTGTCAGTCTTTGTTATTATTCAGTACATACCTTAAACAGCAAAAGAACTGTATGAAACATTAAACTTTTACTTTGTGATTATTTTAAAAATCCACAAACAAGCAAAATTAATACTTGATAGAGTTTTGTGACCATGTGCTTATGTGACTACTATAGTCCTTACTGTGTCATATCTATCATCCTTCAACACTAGAAATACACAAATCTGTCCAGATCCTCTTTTATTAACTTTTGCTAAATCCAGCTATAAAACTGAAAACATTGAACAAGCTATGGGAACAACTAATATTACTTACTTAAGTCCAATTGTTTCAATTGGTCTACTCTGTGTAACAATGGATATCACGGAAAGTATTTTAGAAATACTTGTTGCTCATAGGAATAAAAAAGAAAAATAGCATACCTGCAGAAAGTTGCTTTTCCTCAACTCTGTTAGGGATATTTTCCCAGACCAGGATCTATTGACTGTATAGAATATTCTTTGAATAACCTGGAAAAAGATTAAATACAATTCTCAAAACTGGACTTATTCTGTGTGATTAAAAAAAACAAAACCCTCAAAGTCCCGTAAGTCTTGCATCCTGTTTCTGACAGCAGTCAGTGACCAATATTTAAAATCAACAAAACAGACGACATGTAAACAACAAAAATATGTATATAGTCATAGAGGGATCTAAAATACCCAAAGGCAATCTCAGGGCAAGAGCAGGTTGATATGGGTATAGATAGTCTTTCAGATATTCAAATCCAAAGCCATGTTGGGCTTTAAAGGCAAGCACCAACACTTTGAATTGTGGTCAGAAACAGTCCAGGAGTCAGTGCAGCAATATAAGTTCCAGAAGTAACTTAGTAACTTAGTCACTGCGTTTTGGACTGATTGCTATTTCCAAGCAGTTTTCAAAGACAGCCCTGCATACTACAGTGGTACCTCGGGTTAAGAACTTAATTTGTTCTGGAGGTCCGTTCTTAACCTGAAACTGTTCTTAACCTGAGGTACCACTTTAGCTAATGGGGCCTCCCGCTGCCGCACGATTTCTGTTCTGATCCTGAAGCAAAATTCTTAACCCGAGGTACTATTTCTGGGTTAGCGGAGTCAGTAACCTGAAGTGTCTGTAACCCAAGGTACCACTGTATAGGATATTACTAGCCTATCACTTTGGACAACTTAACAAAGACTGTAGGGAAGGGAACAAGATGCTAGGGGTAAACATTATTATGCCATTTGACAATGTGAATTACTTTCCTTGTAACACTGAGTGCGGCTCAAAATGAATCACGAACCTTTTCTTAGACAAATGCTGACATCTTGTACATGAAGTTAACCTACCGTAGTAATGTAGCGGGAATGAAATTCTGGGGCATCCTTCAGAAATGTCAGCCCAGGATGAGTTTCGACTACATCCTGAAAGATACCCAAATTATATAACACAGAAAAGTTAAGAGAAATGATATGATACAACACTGTCAGCAGTTAGAGTATAATAACATATGAAAAGCCCTGACGGATCAGACCAAAGGTCCATCTTGTCCAGCATTCACTTCTCACAGTGTCCAACTAGATGTCTATGGGAAGCCCACAAGAAGAACTGGAAGCAGGCAACTGTTCATAGCAGCATGATAAAAGCTACTGTCTTTAATGAAACCTTTAAGATTCATAAGTAATGCCCACCTGCTAGGCTACCATTTTGAGTTACTTTAAAAGACAGAAAAATAAAACATAAAAGTTAGTAAGCAGGCAACAACATATTTTCAGTCCACTTAAGCAGAACTCCCAGTGTGTGTGTTCCCATGGAACCTCCTCCTCACTGTCTGAGTTGTGCCCCTACAAACACTGAAGATCCTGTCCTTGGCTCTCTCAGTAGGGCATCCTGCTATGTAGACCCAGACTGGCTTTCATCTGCATGTTGTTTAACTTCAAATCACAGTGAGTGAATTAAGCTGTGGCTCTCTGGGTAGAGTATATTGAGGAGGAAAGGGGTGACTTCTTCAAAAAAATGTAGGTGCTTATCTAAAGGGTTTTCCCTCTAATTCATAAAATGACACTTATTAGCAAGTCACACAAACCTGCAGTAAAGGGATGAAATCTTCTTGTTCCAAATAGTTGCTGCTGGGTTTTGCTAAAAGGCAAATGAATTTTGATGCATCATCATGGCAGTTGTGTAGTATCCTACAAAGGAGAAATAAGACTGTAAAAGTACTCCTATCAATTTGGATTCCCAAAGAATCAAAATCACACAGCTTTGTAAGGTCTTCAGCTTAACCCCTTAATTCTCATTCCCAGCTACAACTGCATTTGTTCACATTCACCTATTTGTACACTTATCTCACCCTCTGCAACCTCTATTTGTCTTTCACATCATCTGTTTTATACTGTAAACCTCTTGGGGCTAGGGATCTGACTATTTTATGCTTATGGCATTCCATTTAAAGCATCATGTACATTGATGAAGCAAAAATAATACGGTGAATAATAATAGTATTAACATTAAGGATCAAAGTAGACATAATGCTAAACACATCTCTGGAAGTTGACTCTCACTTTCTCTTTTTATACTCTAAATAGCCATGACAAGGGTCCCAACTGGGATCATGGTTACACTGCACAAGAAAAGAAAGGTTAACACTTCCTTCTGCTGTAGTCCTACAAAAATAGCCACCTGCAGTTATTTGGCTTGGGAGGAGTTGCTTCACAATGGCAACTAGAGTAAAAAGAGAGAGGTGCAATTTCCAGTGATATACTTAGTGCCACTTCTAGGTCAGCCTTGAAGGCTGATTGTAAATGTGGAATGTACACAGATTCGTCCTCATGCACTAGAAAGCATGCATAAAGTAATGTAAGAACAGTTGTACACATGAATGTTTTGGCTTCTGTGCCAGGTGGATTAGTTTCCTACTTCATGCATTGGGACCAAAATATACATGTACTCTTTTGATCATTTTTCACAGTACTTTATATATACTCTTTGGTATATAAGCATAAATAATGTACAGCACATTTTGTGATAACATCTTCAATAAGTACTACATAGATCCGTTAGAATGCTGTAGCTGGTGTGATTAGTTGGTGGTCTGCATCCAATTTATTCTCTTGACTTTAAGTAAAAGTAATACGACTTCAGACAGACATTCAATAACAAGAATAGCCTATATTCTATTGAGGTTAACAGTAAGGCCCTTGTTAATTGCAATGACTCTCTATGGATCCAGAGTTAAGCACAGTCTCTGCTTGCAAAAGTTGCCTCAGAGATTTCGTCTCCCCCTCAGCTCTGCCCCCTCTGCCATTTAGAAGGGCCCCAGGATCCTTGGTGGAACATTTTCTGGGGGCAAGAGGAGCTGACATGGGGAGGAGCGGCTGGCATAGTCAGCTTCCACCAGCTGTTGTGTATGCTTAACTCTGGGTCCAATTCACTTTTTAAAATATTGAAAATGGTTAAGCACTGCACTGATAACCAGAGCTCCCTCACTTGAAGTATTCACTCAAGATTAGATGTGTTTCTGACAGATGTTATAATTAAACAAGAAATTCCAAGGCAGGTGTAGGAATGGCTGGGAGAAAATTTATGACCAGTTGGTGAAATTCAACAAGGCACTAGCAGTTATGACCAGACTTCCCCTTCCTAACCCACCCCATCTGCTTTGAAGGTTCTGCCAATGCTCTGGAAGGAGAGGAAGTCCCATTTGCAGGAGTGGAAGTCCACTGGGCATATAGGATGCCATGATTGGATATCACCTTCTGGGATTTACTGGTAGATCTATGGGTGGTAGAGCAACATAGGTTTGCAGCTTCCAATTTTTTACAATAGAGATATCTAAAAGTGTTCTCCTGCATAAGTTAGGCTGCCAAGATGAAGAAAGCTGGGGGATAACAGGGAAGATCTTTGTGAAAGGATCTGTGTGGGAGCTCCAGTTCTTATACTGAAAACAAAATTCTGGAATGAGCATGTGCTCAAAAGCACCTTGTTCCTCAATTCTACACCATTATTTTGCACCTGGCTCTGGTTGGTGGACCACAGGATGAAAAACAAAGCAGACCCCATAAGCTGAAAGTTTGCCCACTCCCGCCACAATGGGCCTTTCTGGTATAGAAAACTGAATACATACGCAAAACTTGTATGACTACAAGATTTACCCAACAAACAGGACTAGCATTTGTCAATAAATACAGACTACATTAACAGGAAGAAACTGGAGACAGTATTTTTTAAAAAGGAGAGCTGTATTGAAGGGCACAGTGGAAACACAGAAAAGAATAAATAAACATGCAAAAGAAAGGCATACTGTGCTGCTTTTTCCAGAAGAATATTTTTGCACAGTTTACTCACTTTCTCCACATGGCCACAAATGAATGTACAGATACAAATCCTGTCCGCTCTCCCCCTGACGCATTGAACATGGGAGCTTTCCAGTACAGAGGGCAGCAGCATATCTGTGAACAACACAATAAGACAGAATGTAGCTAGCTAGCATTCGGGCAGGGACATTTTTTCTTCTTTATGATGACATTTTAACAGAAAAGAAGATGAAGAAAATGTCACTTTTGGCTTAAAAAAATAAATAAATCCAACTAAACCAGAATTTTTAAATTGGACCTAATACATTAATATCTGAATCCATTTTTCTTTTTACGCCAAAGTAAGTATGACTGATTTCATATGAGCCACTTAAAAGCAGAATGAAACCATGTGCAGTATGAACAGCATCAAGCTGGCCCGGTTATATTCTTTCACCCTTAGACAAATGGATGGAGGAGACTTTTGTTCAGCCCACATTCTTAGATGAATTAACCTGACACCTCCTAGAATAATGTACAGGTTGGAACATAACTATCCTTTGGAGTTTGCACTTCTCTTCAGTTTTATGATATTGCTCTTGACTCAAAAATATTATCAAACTAAAATGTGTATTTTTAGATAAAATACATTTAGAAGTGAGTACACTGAGGTAAAATAGATATTTAAATCATAGTTTGTGATTTAAATACATATTTAAATATAAATTTATTTACAGTTTTAAAGGCAGTAGATTAATGTGGAAGTAGGGTAGAATGAAATTATGAATAAATACATGTGAAATTGACAGAGACTGGAAATAGACTGAAACATTCCTTTTGGAAAAGTTTTGCTTTTGTTTACTACTTCATCTCATCCCTTCAGCTAAAAGCCACTTCATCTGAGAGTACGCTTTTTCTTTGAAAACCATTTGCTGATATTGTACTGAGCCTTTACCTTCCATAAGTCCTAAAAGCCTGGCAATAATGATATTTACCTTTGCAATTTTCCCCATTTCATTAAGTGGTACTCTCTCATCTTCAAACTCAGAAAATGTTGCCTCAACCTTGGCAATGGTCTCCTCATGACTACTGCAGACATTAGGAAGTCCGTTGGGGAAGTAGAAACGTGGAATGTTTATGGACAAGGGCGTACCAACAGTTACTTTATTCGCAGGCAGAAGTGCCTGTGAGCTGACTGCTGAAATTGCGGGCACTGGGGATGTAGTCACAGGTTTCTTCTCCTGCTTATTTTGGACCTAGAAAGATAATACATAAAAATTATTTTTGGTACAATAGAATGTGAGTGTGTATGTGTGCATGTATCCCTTTAGATAAACAGAAATTAATGAGCAAGTGTCTAAAGTAAGCTGTGCATATGTGCCACCACCTAATTAATCCAAAAGACCCTCAGGGGCATACAACCCCTGAAACCTTGGATAATTGGCAACAATAGCTATATATAAACACATGCACGAGAAACACATAGGATATTTTGATCAGCGGACCTGGCCTAATGAAGCTTCTCTTTATACTTCTGATCTATGCGTAATTTTTTGTTAGTACTGCACATTCAGGTACCAGACTTTCCTAAGTTCCTAAAAGAACACCCATTCAAAGCTCTCTGAGGAAGTGGACATGTTTCTTGTAGCTTAAAGAAGTCACTGGGCTCCAATAATAATCTGATAGAACATTTGTACTTATTTAGAAGATTTATACCCCATCTTTCTGCTACAAGGCACTGGTGTCTGGGGTGCCCCTCAGTCAGGCTGGCTTCTGCTCACCAGTCAAGCAGTGTCCTGCCCATCTCCCCTTATGCTTTCTGCCACCTCTGTTGTGGGATGGATGTCTGGTGATGGGCAGTGAAAAGTGCCTCTCCTTGACAGCTGTTTTGAGGGATTCCCCCTCTTTTAGGAGCTTATTCCAGGATATCTTTTGTAACTGGATCCTGCCTGGGAAACTGTTAAGTTAGGATACAAAAGCTGCTCAGTTCCAAGATCACTGGGTAGCTAGGTTTTGGTTTCTATGTGCAAATGAAATTGGTAAGATGGCTACGTGAGTGTATAGAATTACAAAATTTCCCAAAGAGGCTCTAATTGTGAAGGAGGAACAGTGGAAGAGGAACAAATTTGCCAATAAGATGATTTGGTTCACACCACTTGTGCCAACGTTTTATGAGAACACCAAGAAGTGATGCACAAATAATAATAGGGGATGCAAAGCTTGCTGCAGATCCATCTCCTTGCAGGTGTCTCAGTGCCAGACTGAATCAAAAACTGCCTGTCTGCATCCTAAGACTTATATTTACATTCCCCCAGAGTGGCTGGGGAAACTCAGCCAGATGGGCGGGGTATAAATAATAAATTATTATAAATTATTATTATAATGTCAAGCTAAGCTCTCAGCAAAAACTTAAGACCCCTCTCCTGCTTTTTACTATCAGAAGGCACTTTAGCAGCTAGAGAGAACACACAGAATACTGAAGCACAATCATACATGACCTTTCCCACAGTCATTGGGTTTTAATCCTTAAAACATATTTTCAGCAGTGGAGTAGAACAAAGCTTTCCCAACACAGCTGACATTTAGGGTCACCAAGGAAAGCATGTAGCATATAACAAACAGAAACACAGTGGAGCAGTTCTTTCTTTAGCAAGTGGCAGACAAGTTTTAATTATTTTCAACTAATAATCTTTATTAGGGTTAATATTATTATCTTCAAGAGAAAAATAGTTTTCGACTCTTTCCTCTTGTTTACCAATAGGACATTTGTGTGCTAAGCCTGGAAGGCCTATTTTTAAACCTATGGGTATCTGGTGCAAATAACCTTCTGAAAATAGAAAAGCCTGAGGGAGACACAGTTCTGTCCCCATATCCAATAAAAAGATACAAAGAAGTATAAAAGAAAAGCACGTTCAAACCTGGGCCTGCTGGAATGACTTCAACCTCTTCTTGAAGCGGGATGGAAGAACAAAATCACAGCCTTTTGCAAGGAAAGCTAACTCTCCTCGTAAATCTGGGTCCCTTCGCAGAGATGTTTCTTTGATCATCATCCTGGCTTAGTTCCTGAGCAAACTTTTGTCTTCCCAGCAGAGGTATCAAGTCCTTCCGGGAGATCACTTCAGCCACAATGAGCTATTTTCTCGATTTGGAGTTTTTTTTATGGCCAACAAATTCTAAGTGAAACATACCTTGCCTTCTTCTTACTTACAGCAAGGATTGTTCAGCCACTGTACCTAGACGCAAGGCCAAAGAACCTCCCCCTGCCCCGACAGTCAAATAATCCCCGAGTATGAGTACTTCTGGGTGTCTCTTTGCAATTCTTTATCAAGAGACATGATCTACACCAGAATCTATGTCCCTGCTGGCTACATGACAGTCAGAGAATCTGTCCTTGGCTTGTGATACAGCAGAGGTATTGTGGGAAGGGAAGCACCCACCACTACTACCAGTGGTGCTAAAGTTAGACATACTGCAGAAGTAGCTAAATATATCACCTTCCCAGATAGTTCTTATTTTATGAGCTTCAGAGGTGAAATTTGAGGTGCGAATGTACAGCCATCAGCCTAAGCTGGAAGCAAAAACATGCTGCAGCTTAGTCCTGTGTGAAAAATTGTGTTATGAGGTGCCCATCGCACAATCACGCATTTTTCTAATTTGAACTATGAAATAGTTCGGGGACTCTTTAATTGTTCACCTTTCTCTCTTACTAAGGAAAAATTAGCTGTTTCCTACAATCCAAAGGGACTGCGCACAAGAAAAAAAATACGTGGCTGGTTATCAAGCATTTTTCTTCCACATTCGAAAGCACTAACAATGCATTCCTATACATGTTTACTCAGAAATTAGTTTTAGTGAGTTCTTTGATACTTGCTCTGTAATAAATGTGCTTAGGATTGTGCTGCAGGTGGTTATTTTTTTTAGAAGTATCAGGATAATCAATTCAAGCATAAGAAAGCAATTATTTAAATATTTCCTTTAATGCTTCATTCTTTCACTTATTTTTGCTGGACACCACTTTTCAATCAAAGGCTTATCCTTATGCTAAATTTAATTATTTTAAAGCATTTATACACTGTTCAATATTTCAAAAATATCTTAAATAGTAACACACAGTTACTAAGCCCCTCTCTATATGACATTTCAAAAATCCTCAAGAAGGTAAAGCAATTTGGAAAGTCTAATTAAGCGTACTCTTCCCAAAACCTGAGAATTAATGCTATTAAAAAAAGAAAAAGATTAACAACCATTGCCACTACTGTATATATAAAACTTTTATTTCAGAACTTACAAGGAATTTACTGTCTGCAATTACAGTTTGCTCTGGAACTCAAGAAATGCATATTTTTTCATAGTGGCACTCTGATTTGGGACATGGAAAACTAAGTTTCACATGTTTATTATTTTACTGTTTCAGAAGGGATAATAAAGCTAGGTCACCCAATCGCATGTTCCAAGAAGTGATATGAGGGCCAGCAGGTTCATAAAGGTATGTGGGGTCTCAGTTGGATCAGGAATAGATATATCAGAAGTTGAGACTATGGTATTCAAGAAATTTATTTAGCTTTGTTCAAGACTGATAAAGTAAATATTTTGTTTATACCAGGAATCCTAAATGTATTTGTCAATGTGATTCTGTTTCCTTTCTTATTCATTAAAAGTATTTGTATACCACCTTTCATTTCAAATGGCATTCCTTGTTAACATTTTTGCTAGAATTATAAAATTATATTACCCAGCTATTTTAAAAAATAAAAATTGGCTTCAATGACTTTCTTTTTTCAATCATCACACATAGCAATTGCATTTTGTGTTTTGAAAACATCCCTCTGTTTTGAAATAGGAGAATCACACATTATTAATTTCCACAGTCTGATAACATTTCCATACAGGAAACTGTGGCTGTATAGGAGCAAGTATGTCTATCATTGGAACACAGGAAACTGCCTTATATTGAGTCAGATCACTGGTCTATTCAGCTAAGTGTTATCTATATTGACCAGCAGTGGTTCCCCAGGATATCAAGCAGGGGTTTCTTCCAACTCTACCTCGAGACACCAGGGATTGAATCCGGAACCCTTCTGCAGGCAAAGTTGAAGCCCAACACTTGCTATGGCCCTTCCCAAATATTACTTTGGACTATGGAAGCAATATTCCCCATTGTGCTAAGAGGCACTAGTCCAAATCCAGAATCACTGAGTACTATACAGTAAGACTGTGTCTTCCTCTTGTGCAGGGGTTACATTCCAGGGGAGCAGTGTGCAAAGTCACAATCATGTATAGTCAAAACAACCCCCTGGAACTGTCCCTGCACCAGCAACCTTACCTTCCTGAGCCAGCACAAGATATTTTGGGGCCATCTAAGATCTTGTGAAAGCCTCCAGAGACCGCAAGAGAGTTTCCCAGAGCCTGGTAATCGAGAGCTTTTAAGCTCTCTGCCTTCCTTGCTGGGATCTTGGAAACTTTCATGTGGGCTCTGGAGGCTTTCGTGAGATCTTGGACGAGACCTCACTAACACTACCAGAGCTCGCGCAAGTGTTTCCCAGAGTCCGGTAAGCAAAGCAGAAAGTTTAAAAGCTATTTCTGTGCCAAAATAACTTTAAAGCTCTTTGTCTTCTGGGCATTTAATTGCTGAGATTCCAACTAGTGCATAAATTTGAAATCACAAAATCCATAAGAACAGCCTGCTGAATCAAGGAAATGGCCCATCTAGTCCAGCATCCTGTTCTCACAGTGGCCGACCAGATGCCTGTGGGAAACCAGCAAGAAGGATTCCAGCACAAGAGCAGCACTCTCCCCTCTTGTGGTTTCCAGCAACTGGTATTCAGAAACCTCTCCATCTGTGCTGGCAGAACATAGTTATCATGGCTAGTAGCAATTGATAGTCCTCTTCTCCATGAATTTGTCTAATTCTATTTTAAAGTCGTCCAAGTTGGTGGTCATCACTACCTACTGAGGGAGCAGGTTCCATAATTTAACTATGCACTGCCCAAATGAGTACTTTCTTTTATCCATCCAGACTCTTCCTACATTCAGCTTCATTAGATGCCATTGAGTTCTAGTGTTATGAGGAAGGCAGAAAAGCCTTTCCCTATCCACTTTCTCTATGCCATGCATAATTTTATAAACTTCTATCATGCCACCTTTTACTCACATTTTAGCTAAAGTAAACAACTCTGCTCAACTCAATTATTTTAAAGTAGTGATCCTACTATACTATATAGTCATAACAGTGGAAAAGAAATGGGAAAAGCATTGCCAGGGAGAGGGGAAAACGTTCACTCAATTTTTCCAGTTCCAGCCTCTCTTATACAATTTAAAGGAGATATGAAACTAGACCAGAAGTTAGTAAGCGACTTCCGTGTACTGAAAATAATTTAAAATAACTTTTGAGACAATTCCAGAATGTGTTCTGGATGCTGAGAGAGAGAGCACATTAGGATCATCCACTTACCTTTTGCCCTGCACGTTCTAGGCACAGATCAGTGCTTTCCTGGTCAGTGTCAGAGTGCTTTTTCTTTCCCCAGGAAAACCTGTCTTTACTGCTGAATTGGAACAAACAGCAATTCAGGTTTTTTGCAGGTTGCTGTTTGCTCCAGTTCAGCGGTAAGGAGTGGGTTTTCAAAGAGAAAGAACTGGGGGTGGGGGAGCACTTGGACATGGAGCTTTAAAACGTGGACTTGTGCATAGAAAAACAGCACAAAAACAAGTCTGGATGAGCCCATAGTGAGCATTATCCAAGTGAAGCCTGCAATACTTACAACAGACTTTACACACATCTGTTGCAGCAGTCGTGACCACACACTTCTGGAAGTTGTTCTGCAGGGTACAGCTTGAAGTACTATAAAACCTGTGAAACTGAATTTAGTAAGGCTATGGAAGGACATAAAAATGAAAATGTACCCCACAGGCAATTGTTGCTTTACAGCAGGCTTCCTCTACCTCGGCCCTCCAGATGTTTTGAGACTCCAATTCCCATCATCCCTGACCACTGATCCCGCTAGCTAGGGACCATGGGAGTAGTAGGCCAAAAACATCTGGAGGGCCGAGTTTGAGGAAGCCTGCTTTACAGTATCACCCCCAACTAGCTAAAAAACCCCTATAATCTACAGACAGTCTACATGCACACTTTCACACATGGCAAACATGTGTGACTATTTTGCCATATGAACAAACAATGGGAAGTCTGAAAAGGTGGCAGAATTCCACATTGTATGTACACAGAGTGAAACATACAAGTATACACATACATACATAAAGAGTATACATAGAGTATAATGTACTTTTCTATGTAGAAGTGATATTCATGTGGAAAATTTGTTGCGTGTGTATGGTCCGTAACTGTTACATAAATAAAGATTTGCATTCTTACCTTTATAACCTCTGGCATCTGTTGAATAAGTGCTGGGACAGGCTCTTTGGCAGATGTACCTATGTAGCTTTGCTGAGCAGCTGTGATGGAGGGAGCAGCCAAAGTTTCCTGAAGAATGTGCATCACTTCCTTCTCTTTTGATAAGCTTCCTTTGCCCATTCGGAATTCTACTAGTTCCTGGGCAAAGTCTTCAATACTCTCCAGAATTCGCAATAAAAGGGTTTTGTCTTCATCCTCCATTTTATGACCATTGGTTTCCATAAGTTTTGATAAAGAGGGAGAAGGACTTTTGTCTACAGGTGAACAGACTTTGCCTTTATTTTCCAGAGTCAAAGGTTGGCTAATATGCTTCAAACATGCAGGACTAGTCTTACTGGTAGTCTCTCTCAGAGTAGCCTCCATTTTCTGTGAAAAATGTTCCAAATCCAGGAGAAGTTTGTCTATTTCCTCTTGATTATTTTTTCTGGATTCACCTTTAAAAATCTGAACAGTACAATCAAATCCTTGAGTGTCTGAGGTTGCTTGGGTAGAGGTTTGGGGCAGCATTACAGGTTGAAATAAAGCAGGTGATGTTTTAGTTGAATTTCCAGCAGAGTCTGCCCTTTCTGTTTTCTGCTCATTGCTGTCTGAATTAACCCGTCTTCCTCTCCTCTTAACACTTGATACACTGCCCAATGCCTTTTCTCTATCTGATTCTTCCATAATGTACAGAGTTTCTGTGGGAGAAATGCAGCCTGACGGGTTTACAGATAGTAACTGAGGTAGCGCACAAGCATCATTTGTAGATTCTAAGTTTTCCTGCAAAACTTTTGAAGAAATCTCTATTGGAGTGTGGGTAGGTTTTGCTGAGGAGTTTGTGTCAGTGCTGTTCTGGTTACCTCGTAAGTTTGAAGTGAGAGATTGCCTTGGCACAAAGGATGGGGAGGACACAACATCTTCGTATCTAGGTGGCTGTTCATTGCCAAATACTGGAGGAAAATTAGACGGCTGCAAAGCAGATAGGCTATTAATTAGTTCTACCATGTCACCAGGCTCAGTTAGCCCAGACTGTCTAAACTCAAAAGGCAGTTTTTTAATATAAGAAGAAAATCGTGACATCAAATTCATATATATCATTTCAGAATTGGCTAAGGAATCATTACCACTTTCTCCACTGGCACTCCCTGAAGATTTCTTCTTGATGCATTGCTTTATTATATCAGTACACTTCTTCAAGTCCTCAGAGCATTTGAGTAAGATGTCCAAGCACATCTTAATATCTCCACTAGAAGAACCATCCAGCTTGTGCTTTTCCAAAATCTGTGCAAGAAAGCTATCCTCATAGAGAGTCTGCATTGGTAAGGAAACTGTAGAATTCACATTTCCCTCTACTGAGGTGCTGCTGACCTGCCATTTCTCATCTGTTGAGGAATTATGTGACAGGCCAAAGGGAGGAGGGGAATTTTCATCATTGCTGAAATGGCCATAGATCAAGTCAAAATCTAGTGACCTTCTATTGAATGGGTCTGACTTAACTTTTCTTCCCTTTCTATAGGTTACTTGATTGGGAGAATTTCTGAGTTTTTCAAATGAAAATTCTTTTATTTTCCCACTAGCGAGATTTATGGCTTCTCCAGTGATATCTTTCAGACTTGCAGCGTTTTGAACTGAAGACCCCTTTTTGAGCCTTGGGTTACTAGGAAGGATTTGATGATAATCTTCATCCCCAGCCAAAGAAAGGGAATTTTCAGGCATTGAAAGTCTGTGGGTCAGATCTGAACCTCTAAGGTTGTGTGCAGGGACTTTAATTAGCTCTGCACAAACACTGTGGTGGGCTACTATGCATGCAACTCCTTGCTTAAATACCTGACATGCCCCTGTACAGTAATGCACAGCATGTTGAAGTCGACGATCTATCACAACACTGCTATAACAATTCACTGTTGTTATTACACGTCTATAGGTTACTGCCATAATGAGAATTTTAATTGGCTGCACTATAAACTGAGCTAAGACTGATTCTGTTAACTAAGAAAATAATCTTAAAATGGGGAAAAAGTAATCCATTGTCAACTGTAAGGTAGCTGCTGTCTGTGAGAAATTTAACTTAACCAGTGAAATGTGCAAGGCTAAATTATGGCACACTGATTACATTTCATTATTTATTGAGATACTGAAAAGTTATCTCCCACACAAAAAGTACCGTACTGATGAAAAATTGCTCCCCTTCTCTCAGTCTAAATAAATGTTAGAGGTAGAACTGTAGAACTTCAGCCCACTTGAAGAAAAAAGAAGGAATTGTTTTCTCTTGATTTGCTGTATTGAGTTTCAGATGCCATGTAGAAGCAAAAAGCATGTAGTGTGCTTAAACAATCCAACTCTTCCATTAATGTGGAAGATACCTGCAATGACAAATTGTAAAAATAATGTGAAACTTGCCATCAGACTTCACCTGCTACTTTATCTTTTATACATATATTATTGCAATAGTGTATAATTTTATTCATGCTTATTACGGTTGGCCTAATAAATTTTCTGCCCAGGGCAAAAAATGGTCACCCCCCCCCCATTCCATTAACAGAAGCTGACTGGACTACTAGCAGAATTACAGTATACTTTTAAAACTGGCAATGCAATAGCATCCTCCACTGCCTCTGAGGCTGGCAGGCTTGTTTAGGGGGTGCATGATAAGCCATGTAACATACACAGATGTGGTCTGACCAAAGCAGAATAAAGTGGTAATATTACTTCCTTTGACACAGATACTTCTGTATAGTAGCCTTAGTCTCCAAAGTGTTCCCTGAATCATCATTTTAAGACTGTGACAAACCTGCAGATTGAACTAATATCAGGCTATTTATTAGTAACAGTTTTAAATCTCCTCCTACCCTTTTTATTATTTATTGTTTAACATCTAGCACAAGGAAGCGCTCTTTGAAACTCTAGAGCCTGCTCAATGCTTTGCGGTTTTTGGTTAGACAAAGGCATAATGTTATTATCCCTATTTGCTTTCCCCCCTAACAGACCAAGAGCACTGCAATGATTTCTGCATTGCAGGGGGGTTGGACTACATGACCCTCATGGTTCCATCCAATTCTACAGTTTGATGAGTCTACTGCCTGGGGACGGATTGATTATGGCCTCCTCTTGCTCGTGTGTGTGTGTGTGTGTGTGTGTGTGTGTGTGTATTTACTTAGTGCACTTCTGACTTGCCTCTCCTCCATCATGGAGCTCAAAGCAGTTCTCATGGTCTCTCAATCTAGACACTGACCGGCCCAAATTTTGCTTAGCAAGGTGGCTGCATCATGTGCTCTCATATTCTTTCACCAGTAGTTGCCAATAATCAGTTGGCAGCATCAGCAATGGTTGTATGTTTGTTATGTCTTCCTCCTTTCATTCCACTTCATCTACCTCTACTGTCTTTACTCCCTCTCATTACTGTTTTATGACCCCCAGCAAAACATGCAGCAAAACTTTCCTGCCAATCAGCATGCCTCCTTGCGGAACTTTCAGTGCCCTAATTCCTCTGCCCCATGTCCAGCTCCCCACACCAAATATGGCAAGGAGGCATGTTGAGGGCCAGGAAAGTACCTATAGGCAGGAAGGCTGCACACACACCAGCTTTTTGTGACAGTGAGTCTGGAGATCATGATGCATCCTCTGCTTGTTCTTTTCCAGTGCTCAACATGTTCACAACTCTTTCTGCCAAGGTAAATATGAACCACAGAGGAAGCCAAAGGAAAGAAAATTGAGGAGGAAACACAAGAGTGTTACAATATTGTATTCCATAGGTAAATGAGAATTTATATTGACATGGCAACACAGGTTATATATAAATACGTCTCCATCCCTCAAAATAATTATTAATATAGGCAAGGATCACCATTATCTATTTTTTTCTTTTGCTACATATTTTCTAGGGAAAGAAGAATAACAGGAAGCAGAAGTGGGGGGGGGGTGTGTGTGCTTCTAAATCTATAAATTAAGATACCAGATTAGGAATCTATTTATGTGAATACAAGACTTCATTTTTGTGTTGAGGCATCAATTTTTTCTTACTTAGTTCATAGTGTTGACTCTTGCATTTTAGACTCTTGCATTCTGGTGAAGTAATTTGGAAATATGAAAATAAATACTAGCATTCTCTCCTATAAGGAAGGAGAATCCCATGAAAACTAGCAGTCTGAACATTCCTTTAAAAAAATCTCTTGTTCTATGGCTATGAACAGGAATGCAGCTGTACTTTTGTGGATACAGTGGTGCCTCGCAAGACAAAATTAATTCGTTCCGCGAGTTTTGTCGTCTTGCGATTTTTTTCGTCTTGCGAAGCACGGTGTCGGGAAAGTTTTGGAAAAGCTTCAAAAATCACCAAAGTCTTTAAAAACCTCAAAAAAGGCTACCACACCGCGTTCTATGAGTTGCTCCTCGAAGTCAAGTCGCAACTGTATTAACGGTGTTAAGAAAAAGGAAACAAACTTGCAAGACGTTTCCATCTTGCGAAGCAAGCCCATAGGGAAAATCATCTTGCAAAGCAACTCAAAAAACCAAAAACCCTTTCGTCTAGCGAGTTTTTTGTCTTGCGAGGCATTCGTCTTGCGAGGTACCACTGTATGTGAATTGGCTTTCCTTTTTCCTACTATCAACTAAAAAAATTAGAAGGAGCTGAACCAGGACTACTCCTAGATATTGTAGTTCTTGAGGGTTGGACTAGATAACCCTTGGGGTCTCTCCCAACTCTATGACTCTGTGACTGTTCATGACCAGTTTGCATTGAACACTGGCCAAGCCTGTTTCCCTACACAAATTGGAATATTTACCTAAATGTCCCTGTAGCTACATGTTGCAAGACTCATTAGAGGACAAAGTATTTTACATTTGCTGATCAAGGAACATTGGAAGATCAAGCCAACGGTCCCTGGGCAAAGCCTAGCAAAGGTGCCCATGAAAAGTTCACAAGCAGAACCTGAGCACAAACGCATTCTTAGTAAGCCTCCAAGGAATCCCAGAGATTCTAGAAGCTCAACTTTAAAACACATGTGGTCTATGAACACTGATGCCTTTTGCTTCTTTGCAATCTGTGACACAGTACCTAATTTCCCAAGTCTAACTCAAGCACTTCTTTCCAGGCTCAAAACACATGACCTGTTCTTCCTCACCTGGACTCAGACACCATTCTCTGTCTTACTACACCTGTTGCCTATTTATCTTCGTATCTTCTTGCTTCTATAAAATACAATGTGCATGCTGTAGACAAATCTTCAGTGTACTCCTGCAAGGCCTTGCAGTGGCGACAGGACTTGACAGCAGAAGTGGCAGTGGCCTGCAAGTCCTCACGGCAAAGGCCTGCAGGGACTCGCGGCAGTGACAGGAGGTGACGGCAGCAGTTGCATCCTGCGAGGCCTTGCGGCAGTGGCAGGAAATTCCAGCAATATTAGTGGCAGCCTGTGAGACCTTGTGGCGACACAAGCAGTGGGGCTTGCGAGGCCTTACCGTGGTGGCAATAAGTAGCTGAGGCCTGCAATTCCTCCTGGCAGTAGTTGGAGGCAGTGGCAGAAGCTGTGGCAGCCTGCCTCAGCAAGGCCTTGCAGGCCACCTCTGCTTCTGTCTCCTGCCACCACCGCAAGGCCTTGCAGGCCACTACTGCCACCGCCACGACAAGGCCTTGCAAGCTGCTGTCACTTCTGCCACCGCCGCCTACTGCCATGACAAGACTTCACAGGCTGTTGATTATTGTGCCACTGCTGTTAGGCTGCTTTTGCTTCTGCTGCCTAGCAGGCCTGCTGGAAGTCCCAGATTATTTGTATTCACTATGACTCATCATCGTATTTTGGATTATCCTGAATACCACTATTAGGTAGCCAAGCTTCAAAACAAAAGCCTTATTATTATTATTATCCATAATAATAATAATGGGCAAGGTGGGGCACCTGCCAAAGGCCCACAACGTGGCAGAGGACCCGTTGCTAACCTGAGATGCTGGGCCAGTTTCCCACTTCTCAATGGGAGAGTTGCATGGCAGCAGCAAACATCTGGCTCCTCCCAGCAGCTTCATAACAAGAAATGAGGCTGCCCCAGAAGCTCCAGCAACATTCACAGGGACTTCTTGTTAAAGGTCTATTTCTTGTTGGGTGGAGTGTAGGAAGAAGTAATGTAGCACATTTATTTTGAGCCCTGAGGGCTTCTTCAATCACAAGGGTGTTGTTGCTCAGCTCCTTCTTGGCATCTCTGAAGCAGCGAAATGGGTGACTGTTCCAGAGGCTCCTATGATATCATCAGAGCCTCTAGGGCGATCATACATGTCCTAAGTTGAGATGCCTGCAAGGAGCTGAGCAACGGCTCCATCCAGCTCCAAAAAGCCCAGGACTCTCAGAAAATATTCTCTGTGGCCTCAAAGCGGCTCTGTCAAGGGAAAATGGGGACTTTGTTTCAGAGAATTCTGCAAGCTGGGAGAGACGCCTAGGAAAAGCAAAACAACACTTCTGCCTCATCTGCACCAAGGGAGATAGTAGTAAGGAGCACGAAAAAGTTGCAGCTCTCCTCCAGCCGTCCCTCCCATTGAGAACTTGCCCAGAGTCCTTGCGCTATATAGGTGGGCAAAAGGGAGACCTGGTGCAATGAGAGAAAAGACAGCGTTGGTGTGTGAAACGGAGCTGCAGAGTGTGCGTGTGCGTCGGAGCAATCACAGGATTGTGTCAAGAGGAGACCCAAAAGCAGAGAGTGTAAAGGAGGTAGGGGAAAGGCAGGAAGGGAGCTGCGATGGGCGGGAGGAGAGGGAGAGAGAAAGGAAGAAAGAGAGCGGAGAAAGGGCGCAACAAGAAACGAGCTGCAACCACCGTGCCCCGTGGGTACCTGTGCCCGAGGGCCCACCAAAACCTGCAGCCGGCCCTGACCGAGGGGCAAATCGACGGCGCTCCCCAGTCGTTAAAAGCGGCTCCCGCTCCCTCCCTGAGCCTCGGCTGTCACCCGCTCGCCCGGCGGACGCAGAAGCTGCTGGGGACAGCTGAGGCGCCCGAGCGGCGCGGAAGGCGTTGGGAATTATTGAGGTGCCTCTTGTTTCGGCCCCGGCCGCTCCCTCCTCCCCGCCTCCTGTCCCACCGAAGTAAAACGCAGCATGGATTCAGACCGCGGACGAGGCTTGGGCGTGGGGGGGAGGGAGAGAAAAGCTGCCTCTTCGGCGCCACTTTGCCAAGTTGTTGAGCGCAATTAATAACGAGCAGTTGGCCGACAGCGCCTGAGGCGGACGGGACAGTAGCTGAGCACCTACCCGCCGCCGGGGCGACTCCCTCTCCCATCGTGGGGCGCTCTTCTTCGGATGCAGCCCTCCTCCTTCCTCCACCCTCCTCCGGGCCCAGGGAGGCTCTGCCTCTTTTCCTGTCCCTCCCGCGCGACGAAGGGGGCGCCCGCCGAGCGCGCTCAAGTGGGACTGGAGAGGGGAGGGGAGAGGCGAAGGCGGCGGTTCCCTGCCAAGAGAGGGCCGGGCCACGGGTACAGCATAACAGAGCCCTGCCCGACTGCAACTTCGTGCTAGGGACGCCGCCCGCCCCGCATAGCTCCCGCCTGAAACTATTTCGGTGTCCCGTGCCTTAAGCCCCAGGCGGCAGTGGGACGACGGGTGGGGTGGGAGAGACTTCTGCAGCCGAGCCCCGCGTCCTCTTCGCCCTGCTCCGTCCAAGGGAAACCGCCCTCTCGAGGGCCTTGAGGATTCAGACAAGCTGTTCTCTCGGAGTTCAGGCTCTTAGGTGGGCGTTGAAACAAAAGGCCAACGCCCTCGATAGCAGAAAAATGTGGAGTTCGGGAGTTCGGCTGGAAGCGCGCTCTGCAGCAGAGGAAAGTTTCGGAAGAGTCGCGGCGGGCCTCGAAAGATTCAGAAACCAGGAGGGGAAGGAAAACAACTCGGGTTTTTCATTATCTGCTTCTAAACCACATGACTCTGGAGTTCTGGGTCCAGATTATGGAACCCTTGAGTCTGGCATCTGTGAAATGCCAGCTACAGTTTCCTGACTCTTTTGACTCCAGGCCTGTTCCAGAAGTGCACCCGCCCTATGCTATTTGGCTCATACTTGCTTGACTCACCGCACCCATCTTGTGTACTCACTCATCAGCTCCTTCCCCATAGGGCTGGAATAGGCTCCTGGTTCTTTATTCCATTCAGTGGTGTGAGTGTATATATAGGAGGAAGAAGGAACTTGGGTTTGATTTAGCTCTGTGTCCTGAAAGAAGCTGTAGGCAAGTCCAGATCATGCATCCATGACCAATGCTCAAGTTTGGTACTTCCAAAAATTCAGTCATTCACCTAGGCATGAAGAACTGGAGTTTGAGCACCAAAATTTAACAAATAAGCATTGGGCCAGCTCAGGGCTATTGAAGTAAACCATTTGATGTGCATTACATTTTATCAAAATACGGTACATGCACAAATAGAATAAGAAAAAATTATCCTTTTCAAGTTCAGTAGTAAACAAAAGTGGATAGGTGAGTAGCTGCACCTATCTTCATGGGTTTTCAGAAATTGCTGTTTGTCAGGATCTCCTGCCTAGTGTATTGTTTTTATCTCTTATCTTAATTCTTAAATTTTTGTTATATGCTGCCACTTTCCCAAGCAGTTAAAAGTTCTATGGGCAAGGTTTAGTTTCCTTTGGATGAGAGAAGCAAAACAGGCACTCTTCCAAAGGCAGCATCAGAGATAACAACTGTACCTCAGGGATGCTTCAGCCAATTCACAATCTCTGACTAGTATCCCAACTGAAACTGCAAATCTGCCTTTAGCTGACTCTCAGCCTACTTCTTGTCTGGGGTGTATTATCTTCTAAACTCGTATTACTTTCCAAATCTAAAGGGTGGATTTCAGGCCACCAGGAAGGCATCCACATTCATTAAGAAACAAAAAGACTATTTTGCCAAGGCCCTAACTTCCATCAGAGACCACTTAAAGCAAAACCAAAGTAGTAATCAAGATGAGGCAATTACAGAAAGAAAAAGAGAGGGCAAACTGCTAAGCAACATCATGATAGCTGGTTTTTTGAGAATTCTACTGGTCAGGAGGATAGCCTACCTCATTCTCCAGTTCCGAAGCAGCTGAGCAAGACAATGCTCATGAGTTTCATGGCTTGTGAGAAATTGCTACCGTAGGATCTTTTGCCTGGGGCATTATTTGCCTTTCTGGTCCAGGTGAACCAAACCATGATAGCTGTTGTGAAGTAGCCCTGCTTGTCAGTATTTCTGTCTAGACAATAGCTCCTGCTGCAGTCCAAAAATAACAAATCTAGATAGGATGTACTTGTACTGGTTTTACAGCTGGTCATAAATAAAAATGTTTTAGGATCTGTTAAGATGCTCTCTCTCAGACTATGTGTAGCAACCATCACAGCTGGTATTTGTTCATTTGCTTTACTTGTTAGGATTTCCTGTATTAGCTCTAGGTATTGCAAAATCATATAGAACATACTATGCCGGTTTATGATTTGATAGGAACTGCTATCTGTAAAGATCTGTTGCTGGAAACTCAGCTTGCCTTTCTGTTGCATAGAAAATAATATAAAAAACACCCTGTCTCAGTATCTATCTGTGGGACAGTAGCTTATTCTCTAGTAGTTCAAACATTGCAAAAAGACAGTGGCTGTCCTGGCCACTAAAACACACAAAAAGAGACCTTTTTTTTTTTGTAAGCAAAACTTTATTCAGGCAAATAACAGTACTGTCTCAGCAGCAGACACAAGGCTCAGGTGTCGTGGTTCAGAAGTTCAAGAGCAGAGCAAGAAGTTCAGAATGGGACAGTAGCAACAAAGATCTCTCAACTTTCCATGTCCTGCTCACCAAGCTTTTAAAGATGAGGCATGGCACATTCACTTGCCTTGTGGAAATCTTGGGATTGCTCCTTGGGGTCTGATCCCATGTGTGAAGGTGAGGCCCAATTCTAGGCAACAAGACTGCACCTTCCTGCTACTCACAGCTCACTCTTCCCTTGGCTGTTCCAATACCTCCCCAAGCTCTAACGAGGCTTTCCATTTGGCAGGAAAGTTGGGGAGGAGAGCTGGCACCTTGCTCCCTCTTCTGAAGGGGCTCAAACTGGGGTGGAAAGGGGATATCTCCTCACGCCTCCAGCCCAGGTTTCCATCCTTCAGTTCTCCTGTTTGTTCCTCCTCCTGCATCAGAGCCTGCCAATCCAAACCTGATCCCAACAGCACTGCAAGGCTCATGGCGTCACTTGTGCCAGTCTCGTGGATTAACAAAAATTGATATATGTTTGAATTCTGGAACAGAATCTGCCTTTTTGGTCCACATATAACAAAATATTAAAGCTGGTTTTCAAAACAAAAAACAGTAAATCAGTACCACCTTGTTAATTTGTAGAAACACCATGTGTGTGATATGTGGGAACTTGTATGCTGTGAGAAATTGTTATTTATCTTAGTTTCATACAAATAACATTAACTGTAGGTATACTATATAATGATAGATTTAAAAACAGCAGTATAACGTTATTGTCAGTATGTCCTACCTTTTCATTTGTACTTTCTCTGGTCCACATTTTAGGGAGAATGCCCTCATTAGGCTTATGAATAGCAAGACATTATTACATGCACAGATCTCCTACCTGCAATTAGTATCTGACACTTGCTCAGGTTGGTTATGGTTGTTTTTTAACCCAACAACCAACTATTTGTCAGGACCTCCCATCTGTTTAGACGCTAATTATTTAGTTCAGGGATACCAAAACTATATTAAGTTCATTTGATTCCCTTTCTTGGGAGTAGCAAAGAATGATACCTAGCTTTCAGAAAGTTTTGCTTGTCACATTGTTGTGTCTGAACTTCAGCTTTCTCTTAAATTCAGTGGTTTGCTTGTGCCTTTCTCATAAGATTCTGTGACATAATGCATGTTGTGGGCCTTACCTGAAACACAATCTGCTTCTACAATCACAATATAGCAAAATATAGCTGGTTTTTAATTTTTTAAAAAATTCAGGATCTTCAATATTTGTACCAGTTTAGAAGTAGCAAAGCTAAGTAAGATCTGCCTGTGGTAATCTTATGGGTTATGGTAAATTGTTATATGTCAAAATCTCTAATAGCAAATTAGAGTTACAGTGGCTCTATAGCCAACATGGAGCTATTGAGAAACAAGAAGGAAGTATCAGTATGCTCAGAAAACCCCAAAGTTTGCAGAAGTAAAAATCCTTAAGAAAAAATACCAAAGGAGCAAAAAACCACTGCCTCCCACAATACAGACCCAAAAAGACTGAGCATGTGCTTAGTGGCCATTGAAAGTTTTAAAATTTACTAGATTTGCATAGTGCAGTAAAAATAGGTTAAAAATGGGTTGACACATCCATTTACAAAAGAGAGGAGGAAGAGGGGCCCTGCTTTGTCTTGGGATCTTGAAGACTAACTGAAAATTGGCCACATCTCTGTTAGTCATATCATCATTATTCCCTGCACCTCTCCACTCCAGGCCTATGCTAAGCACATGTTTGCAGCTGGTTTTGTTTGCTCATATGTTCAAAACTATGCTGGTTGCATTGCTTGAGCTGCTGGGGTTAATTCTAGCTAGATAGGGTACATGCACATTTTTTAAAAAGAAAAGTTTTTTGATACGCCAGATTTGCAAAAAAGCATTTAATAATTTTAGAATGTCTGCTGCTCCAAGCCAGACAACAATTTGGAATCACACACATGAAGACTGCCACTTCCTTTCACCCTCTCTTCTTTTCCCACCTCCTGTATCTGCAAGGACAAACTTTAATCATCATCATCATAATTTTTATTTATACCCCGCCCTCCCCAGCCAAGGCTGGGCTCAGAGCGGCTTACAAGCAATAATAAAAACAAGTTGAATGATTACAACTTAAAAACAAAATTAAAATACAACATTAAACTTTAGTTCTAAAACAGTTGTTTGTGGAAGAGTTCTGTGCAAAAGGGTTTTATTTTTTATTTTAAATGACATTTTTGCTGGTAGCTGCTTGTTTAGTAATAGCTAATTGTTTGCATTCTGCAACAGTCCTGTCAATAGACTCATGCTCAAATGCAGTCTGCTGCTTTGGCTTAGAAACAGACCAGCCAGATCTGGGCAGCCATACAGATGATGAGCCCTTTATCGTTTTAGAACACCTGGCACCTATCTATTCCTCTTCCAGAATCCTACAATTTCAATCTCTGTGCACTCACCTGAGAGTGAAACCCATTAAACAGTGGGATTCACTTCAGAGTAAGAGTGCATGATTGGAAGGGATTGTGTTCTCTTTCCACTGTTGGCCTATCTCTGCTACTCATCAAATTCTTTATCATCTTGCTTGTGTACTGCATATGAAACAATGTACCACAGGGCAAGTTACTGTAGTTGTATGTTCCTGTATTTACATGAAAACTAATAAAAATTATTTGGGGGGGGGAAATTCTTCATCATTTTTCCTCCCTTGCTCATCTAATGTTGATGCAGCCCTTTAACCCAGTCTATGTCACTTTTGTACAGCACCTAATCTGTCTAATCATAAAATTTAAGGGGATGTATAGATTCTGAAAATTACCGTGCATGTAACCATAACCAAGGAACACCGAGTGAAAGTCAGTGGAGGCGTTTATAGGGTTATGGTCCGGGGTTGGTGAAATTCTATGTCTCTCGCACACAAACAGCGATAGCTCAATTCTTCCTCGCACTCACTTCCAAGGACAGATTCGGACAGGTGGTTTCGACTCTGCGCACGCGCATAAGCAGGAAGCCTAGTTAGCTTCCCTCCGTCTCTCACTGACCCAGCGCCGAACCGTCTCTAAAAGTAGAGCTGGCGCGTAACGATTCTTCTTCATCCTTAAATTCCGCAAGCAGGTGGGAGTAAATCCATCTACTTCCGGCAATAATCCCGCCCACCATCCCTCCCTCCCTCCCTCCCCGCCGACCAGTCCCCGTTGGCGCGTGCGCAGTGTCCGCCTCACGGAGAAGCAGTTTGTTTTTTTCGTTAGCTGATTCGAGCCGAGCGGGGCGTACTCCCTTCTCCTCGCTCTCCTCTCCCGGCGATGTGGCCGCGCATGGCGGTAGCGGCGGCGGCGGCGGCAGCGGCAGCAACAGCAGTCGTGGCTCCGGCTCTCGCGTGGGGTTGACCGGCTAGCACTTCTGGCGCGCACCAAGATGGCGTGTGTGTTGGAGACGCCGCTCCGCATGAGTGTCTTGTCGGTGAGTGGAGGCCTGGGGCGGCGCGGCAACGGCGGCAGCCGGAGCAGCCGCCGGTCCCGGGGAAGTGAGTGAGGCGCGGCGAGGCTTCCGTGGGGCGGCTCTCCCTTACCTTGGCCTGGAGGCGGCGGGTGCCTGGCGGGGCGAGCGAGGGACTGCCTCCTTAGGTTGCCCGCCGCGGGTCCCGCCCTCGCTGGTTGCCCGTCCCGTC